GCATTAAGGCGGTTCAATCACTTCAGGTTACTACACCAATTTCAGATTGTCTTTGTGTCCATACATAAGGTTGTCTGAACCGCTTTCAGGCGGTTGAACCACTTCAGGTTACTTCAACACTTTCAGATTGCCTTTATGTCCATACATGAGGTTGTCTGAACCGCATTCAGGCGGTTCAATCACTTCAGGTTACTACAACAATTTCATATTGCCTTTAGATTGCCTTTGTCCATACATGAGGTTGTCTGAACTACTTTTAGGTGGTTCAGTCACTTCAGGTTACTACAACAGTTTCAGATTGCCTTTGGTTCCGTACATGAGGTTGTATGAACCGCCCTTCAGGCGGTTCAGTCACTTCAGGTTAGCACACAAATTTCAGATTGCCTTTGTGTCCATGCCTTTTCAAACTCGGTTCAGCAACAACTGATGGTGCACATGCAGCACCTGTGCAAATGCAAGAAAGAGTTAACAAAACACCCCCTACCCCCACACACCCCACCTCCCCCCCGGCCAACCAACTATCAGTACACTCCACTTTTGTATTTTCGTTATACAACGAGTTGTAGTATGTCATTCCATATCTAACATTCCTAAGCATGATTTGTGTGTAGGTTATCCTGGTGAAATAGGTGAGAAAATGCTGCTATCATTGTAGTGCCTTTACTACATCCATTTTTTTAACTTCGTAAACAGGAAACCTACTTAACGAGGTGATAAGAGCACCGCCGATAAGTAGGCCCCGGCGTCGAAGGCTCCATCTATTGGTGGGGAGCTACACCTGCTGGAAATTGGGTCCAGCGTCCCTGTACAATGATCAGAATGTATCTGCTGGAAATCGGTCTCATGCTGGGCAAGGTATCATGCCCAATTCTGTCGATGACACCAGAAGTCGAAACCCTAGTTCTGATGTGATCAGTGTTTATGAGGGGAGACCCTATGTACCTAGCATACTGTTTCTTCATATTGAGCAATACCACAAGCCCAGCCCTGTCAATCATCGAAGGATAAAAACCCAATTACAGCTGTTGAGAAATGTAGCTCACCTCAGAACCAAAAATAAACCCGTAATCATCCAACCCCGTATGAAGCCGCGTGAATAAGAGGTGAGGCCATGAGAGTTACAAGTCAATCAGCCATTAATCGACGAGGGGGAGAGCATCTATCCTATGCCCACCCAGTGCCGAAAAATAGCAAATGAATCATCAGAGTAAACACGCCAGGCAGGAAAAGGGGGGGGGACGGTAGGTCGCACCTTCAACCTAAAATCTGACCTCGCGAGACCTAACAAGGTCCTAATCCCTTTCCCCCTAAATGTTGGCGGCATCTCTCCCTTGATGCGGAAAGGGCGTTTGGAGGCACAATGAACCTTCCGCGCTCCGCTACTCTCGTAGATTTCATCACCACCGACATCATGATCGTTGTTGTAGATGTTGTTGTTGTTGTTGTTGTGGTGTTTGTTGTTGCTGATGTTGCAGTCATTGTTACTGTTATCGCCACTGTTGTAAATTTTGTTGTCATGCTTCACACCTTCCTCGCCCATTATACCCAATCGCTGTTCGCTATCATCATCGCAGTTGTTACTGGCGTCGTTGTTGTTGTTGCTGTTCATATCCCCCCCACCCTTCACACCAATCTCGCCCAACACCTGCCTCGCTTCCACCACAGCCACCACCTCTGCCG